GGGGAAGAGGCAGACACCACGGCTCATGTGCGACTCAGCAGAAACTGTGGTGCATCTCAAAGCTCACTGGCGTTTAATCGGAGGGGGATAATTCACACTGACACCTCCTTTGTTTCAGGTAGAGAAGAGCTGCATAGACACAGCGCTCAGTGTTTGCTCACATGCACATCCGCACACGTACAAACTTACAGAGAATGAACACAAGAAAGGAATTTTAGTGCATATTCATAGAATAATCATTCAAGTTGTCTGGATGAATTATTGAGCAATGGGAGACCAGGACACGCTATGCTGGAATGGAGGGGATGTTTGTGCCGCTTGAACTCAAGTCAGACACAACAGCGTTCTTTAAACAAGCTGATCCTAATGAAGTAGGATAACAACACAGAAAATCAACACGGTGAACATAACAAATCTGCTGAGTAATAAAGTCAAGTCAAGTTAAAACACCTAAGAAAAGATATACAAGAACTCTAGGACCACACAGCCTTACAGCTGCTTTAAACTGACCAAATTCTGTGGTTTAACAAATAGTATTATTCACTCACTATTGTCAGTTACCAAGGTTTTATTGGCTCACTGTAAGGACCTTGACAGTTAATGTCTAATGAAGAAAAAGTGGGACAACATCCAACCACAGTTTGGTTGACTGTCTAATGCAGTGTTTTTCAACCTTACGGTCACAACCGTGGTTGCCTGGAATTCAAATTTGCATCAGGATTCATCAGGATTGCCTGATGAAAATATTTTTTCATTATTTTTTTTAAATCACCACACACTGTCTTAAACAACTGCATTTTTTCACGTCCATGAACATAAATCGAGTGCGAATAAAATGCAGCTTTTTGAAATGTCTGAGCTGGCACTTCGTGATTGACTGCTGCAATCACGTGACTGCACAAGTGACTGTTACTAAAATGTCTCTGGGGTCGCCAAAAATTTCTGATGTCAAAATGGAGGCCAGAAGCCAAAAAAGGTTGGGAGCCACTGGTCTAAGGTTTTGTGCACAATTTCCTTTCACCCCTTGTGGTTTGTCAGCAAATACAGCCTAGTAGTAAAAAGATAAAAATAAAGCCCTGATTCTCAGCTCAACACATAAAAATAAAGCCCTGATTCTCAGCTCCTCAACATGAATATAAGGGAACTGTTACATAGTCTTTTCTTTGCCTATACAGCGACAGCATCCCCTGATAAACAATGCCTTCACTTTCAGAAATGTATTACACTACTGATTATGGTTTCCCATTTTAAACAGGCTGATGTTTGAACAGCCCTGATACGGCTGATGGGATAAAGAGCAGGTAGAGCTCGGTGTTTGTGTTGGTGTGCGTGTGTTTGCCTGCATGCGGGGATGAATATCATTATGCCCTGGCCCAGTGCACACACAATCAAAATGACACATGGAATGTCATTTTGCACATATCACTTAATTCGTTTTAAGACTTACACCTCCTCCTCCTCCACCTGCATTAGCAGACGGTGGATAATTTGAATAAAAATCCATTTATTTCCTTAAGAATCATTTAAGGACTTCTAAGGTCTAGCAGCAGGGACTTGAAAGAGTATTAGGATTTTTTTAGCCCAAAGTAATTCTATAGTCTCAGAAAGAGCTTTTCGATTTGAGCTTCATTACGATGCACTGTAAACATAAATCTAAGCTCCTGTCAGCTAAAGTCCCTTCATAAAGATATTTTTCTGCATAATTTTTTTTTTCATATTGAGCATACTAGCAATCAGCACAGAAGTGAGGTGTCCTACAGCTGCAGCATTGAAACCTAAATTAGCCTAGACCACATCAAAAGATGTCGTCTCTATTCCAGGCCGGGGCAGGAAAATTACAGCCTTTCTCCCTCTACTCTAGCATTAAACCTCAATTAGTGTGCAACTACTCCAATGATGTCATCACCAAGGGACCCAAGAGCTATGGAAGAAAAGGTGTGCCTTGCTTTAGAGCAACAGAAACTGAAAATTGAGATGCCTTGAAAACTTGAGGGTCCTTACTCTGCTTAAAAAAAGTGTGGGTACCTCCAAGTAGAGAAGAGGAAGTGTTCTTTTGATAAAGACAGAAAAAAGTTTTAGAGGAACTGGTTTAGCAGGAATTTTAATCCTGACTTGTAACTGGACTTTTCCTTGGAGAACAGAGGTCAATGAGGTGGTACAAGAAAAACTCTGCTTTGACCTACAGTGACCTGGAAGGACAAGAGAGAAGAGAGAGGAGGAGAAAAGGGCTGACTGGGACTGCAAACCACTGATATTAAAGATTCAACTCCAACACAAATATGCTGAATTACCAGTAAAATGGACACTCGTAGGCACCACCAACTAAAGCTCTACCTAGTCTGTGTTTAAATTATGCATCACAGCACCTAACAATGTTTTAGAGTAATCTGCCCGAGCCTTCACGTCCCTCTGGTTGTTCTTTCACCTTAGGAGACAAACTAGTCACATATTTTAAAAATAGAAGTCTGGTTTTACAAAGTCATGTAAAAAATGTTCACATGGTTTTTCCACAGGTGCAGGAAAAAGGGGGATGGGGCTGCCAGTTCTTTTTAAGTGGATCAAATTTTTTTTTTTTAAGGCTGAGCTCCATCAAAAACTTTGTGGCGGTGGAGGTTGTGAGAGGAGTGGTTGAGATCAAAAGGCTGCAAGTTCCTGGCAAGCAGACCCAATCAGCCGAGAGGGCCAAAAAGAGGAGGAGAGACAAGCGCTTCCCTTTTAAATTGATCCCACTGAGACCCTCAAGGTTCCCCTTGCAGGACTTACAGAACAGCGATAAAAATCTGGCCCCGTGGATCTGACGAGTGTTAGGGTGGGGAGACCATGGAAAAGAAAGGCAGTTTTTTTGTAGGGGGAGACAAACAGAACAGAGCGATACCGTGAGGGGAAAGGAGCCAGTTGGGGAGAGACCAGGGTGAAAGAAAGGGTGGGCTTGTTCTTCACGGGTGCATCAGGCCATCTCTGTGAGCCAGCAATGGACCACAGCTGGGACGAGCGGTGCCATCAAACCTGAGCTATACGTCTGATGAGGTGCTTAACCGATCGGCCACGGGTGTATCTTTATTCTGTCCTGGTTCTGGCAGATGAAACACTGGATCATTTCATGCTGGCCTGAGATTAGACTTTGGACATGACTGGCGTCTTTATCCACAGCATGTTAAGCCCTCAAAGGAAGGAGTGCTATCAGTGAAACCCAGAGACCACAGAGCATGCCAGAAACACAGCGAACCTAAAGCACTGCCAGAAGGAACACGCACAAAAAAAATCCACTAGGGTTCTATGTGAAACTAAAAGAAGCAGAAATATTATCAATCAGAACACTGACTTTATTTTTATCTTCTCTGTGTAGTTTCCCCTTTTATGATGCAGGTATTGTGCAATGTCTGCCTTTATATCTGTAAAATATGCATTGGTAAAGTCCAATGAAGCTGCAACTAAATATAGTGTTATTACACTGACATATGAAATATCAACATTTGCATCTATTGTGATGTAATGTAAGAAAACTTCCACCCAATTTCTCTGTGAAGTATTGTTTCATTATTATTTATATGAAGGCGTGGTGAGCAGTTTTTATAGGAAAACCTCAAATATGTTATCGGGAGATGAAAGAGAATCAGAAAGGTTGAACTTTCTAGCCAAAGACACTAGTAACGTAGGAATTGGTTGTTTCACCATTAATGTGTTTCTTTGCTTCTTTCCTTCAGCTGACAAAAATGCAGAATTTGGCAAGACAAAAGTCCTGACTCCGCAAAGTCACATTTTTTTTAATGGTCAGTATTAAAAGTATTAATATTATCTACAAATACTAGCCCCAGATAAAACTTACATACTTAATGGCCCGTGACTTTGAAAATATTTAATTTAATATAAAATAAAACTATATTAAAGCTACATAAGGTGTATGGACTGAGGAGAAGCCATTTTATGTTACTTTGCCTATTAGGTCTGTCCTTCTACACAAGGCCCTTTCAAATGACCTGGCATTACATGCAGTATTAAAGATGTTCTACTGGTAATACTACCAAGGGGCTACAATAAACCAATTTAGCTCCTGGGGATCGTGCTGTGGACACAAATACCTAAAAGACTCAAAAAAGCAGATCTCTTTTAATGTCAGTAAAACCAGCCCAGGGACTGACACGTCTCCTTATCCCTGCAAACCACTGCACACAGGCCTTTTCCTCCTTTAATCCCAAATACCCTGAAATCGCATAAGTATTCAACATCAATATTTTGACATTTCATTCAGCTGAGTCTCCAGATGAGGCCATTTCTACAATTAAATGAATGAAACTTGGCAGGAGAGGGAAACTCAAAGTTACATGACTGCGGCTTTGGTTGGCAATGGTAACCTTTTTCGAAGGGACTTGGTGTGGCAAATTGATTGCATGGAGGGCAAAGTCATTATAAATTCAAATTTTCAGAAGGCGCATACAAAAAAGGGACATGTGAGAGGGATTAGATAGCCACTGGAAGAAGAAAAAAAGACTAGAGAAAATGAATCAATCAATCAGGGTATAAGAAGCTGACGAGAACAACTCACAGAGGCCCTTCCTCCCTTCCCTTTCAGTTCTGCCTATAAGCTCACCTTTTCAATGAACTGTCTGTGACCTAAAAAAGAAAAGAGAAAAAGTTAAGATTGGAAAGTGACTGAAGTTATTTAAAAATAACAGAAAAGCAAAGAAATTGTTAAAGACAAAAAGGTTATTATAAATCACTATCCATTTCTTTGTATCAAGAATCTACACATACTAACTCTACTGTATTTGGCAGGTAAATTTCAGATGCTAAATTTCACCAATCTGAGCGATCTTTTGCAGTTTTGTTAATACAACCTGCACTGGATGCTGCTTGGACTTTTTACATTGTTATTACAGTAACAGAATAGCACATTTAATCGATATACTAAAGCAGCAATCATTACTACACATCTCAAGCCAATCAACTTATAAAGTGTTCTAATAGCATATGGGAAAGAAGCACTTTGTGCTAATCTGTCTTTTCTGTGGAGCCCACTGACAGCCCCATTCATGTCGACATCTCTTTAACATGAGGTTAGTGGGTGTTTGGCCTCCCCTCCGGTCATTTGTGAGCTGCACAGCCTGGAAATGATTAGGCCTGGGAGGGCAATTAGCCTGAGCATCGCTGGGCTAAATATAGTCCAGCCTGGCCCAGCTCCGGTCTTGGGTCATTTCCACACCACTGCCTCTACACAGGCATACAAGCCCAGTCTGGATACCGTTTGTTTGATGACTGATGTAAAGGCATCGCTGACTCAGATGAGATAGCATAACTCAACTGTCAATCAGGTGTCTCACGAGGGAAGGAAGTGTGTGGGAAGAAAATTTAAGGGGACGGTGTTTGACAGGGAAGCACATGTTAACCTCAATAACCAGGAAAGATGAGTAGGCGAAGCATGTTTCTCAAGCCGAATGAGTCATTTTTATTTATTTCCCGACACTTTAAATGTGTCAAAACACTGTGCCTTTCTGTTTCGCACTCAAACACCGAGCTTCATTTCAAAGTTATTTAACCTGACAAAAACGGCTTGAAATAAAACATGGTTGGGAAAACATGCTTTCCCACAGCCTCGCACAGAGTAAACAAAATAAAAAGAAAAATGCTTTCCCACCGCACAGCTGCCTGGCCCTCCAGTCTGAATATCTCTCACCCCTTGAAAGAAAAAAAGAGATTTTATCCTTAAAAACAGAAGGTTCACCCACTCGTTCACCTGGGACGGCTTTTGGACGGCAGAGGCGAGGCAGAAGGTTATGGGAGCCTGGGAATGTTTAACATCAAGAAGGCAATCAGAACATGGTCAGGGCTCTGGGAATTGGAAAGGAAACATGGAGAATAACCCCTTCCTGCCTGACAGGAAATAGAGGAGGAAGTGATTTGGGTTACGGGGTGAATTTAACTGTAAACTGACAAATGTGTAGTTGTAACTATTAGAACTGATCAAATTTAGACAGTTCACTTTTTTTAATTTTGGTCATTTTACCCTTTGTAACTAAAATCTTTAATATCCCTGAACCTGATCAGTGTTCAGAGAGGTATATTATTTGTATTAAAAACAAATCAAAAAAATATAAGTTTGCTAGTAGCATAATAACAAACTAGAGCTGTTCTTTTAGTGAAGTTGTATACAGTATTATATATATTCCTTTTGTATTAACTCTTTTGGGACAAGAGGTAAAACATTTGATTGTTGGAAATATATTGGCAGCTTTTAGTGAATTTTATATAGCATGTAGAGATATACTCTTTTGGATAAATGGACAATATTAATACTGCCTATGTTATAAAAAATATAGAGACCAGGAATACCTCAGAAAAATATGGTCTGTGCAAACTCAACATAAAGACGACAACACCACCTGAAAATGCAGAAGAACGCCAATAGAACTAACTTTTGGACATAGATCAAATTCTTTGAGTCCACCACAGGTGATCTTATGTCCTTCATATCTTAAAACTGTAGACACACTCCTAGATATTCTTGGACCTTATAGCAGCAGGGTTACATCGGAAAAATACATCCATCATGACATGTAGTGACGATAAAAGTATGGACATGCTCAGTGGTCTGTTTATAAACTGTTTGCTAATCTATCATATGCCAACAGAGGATACAGCCAGGTTGTCACTGTTGAATGATCAAAGTGTGTCCTTGGAGTGACATTATTTATTGAAATCATCAAGCAAATGCATTATGAACAGTGCACGTGAAGAAATAGCTGGGCTTCAACTTAGGGTTACACTCTTGCTAGCTCATTTTTTAAAATGAGAATATGATTCTGACACATAACAGGCATAATAAGGGGGAAATGGTCTGATTGCCTAAATTTGCCCGATGCATGAAAGGGAGGGAATCTTTTCATAGCCCATGTGGATGTATAGACAATTTAGAGTCTTTCTCTGTGCCAAGATTCTGATCTTAATTACTTAGTTAATTAGCTGTGATTCAAAGGGAGAAGCCTTGCCCTATGTAAAGTTCCTTGGCATTGCTAAGGGGGTCTACTCAGAAGCTCTTACATCCTCACTCTATTTTTAAAGCACCAATCCTGACGCTGATTTACAGGACTGCCTTTGCTAGGTGAGCTTTTTTTTTCTCAAATGTCAGCAAACCCCATAGAGCTCCAGCTCTTCAATTCTACCGCCTGAGGAAAGCAGATCAGCTCAGACCTTTTTTTAAATTTTTTTTATCTGCACCTCCCCCGTCCATCGTAGTCTTATAACAAACAGACGCATTCCGCTGATTTATGGTTATTGTTTTTCAATGAAAGAGGAACAGCCGGTGCAACATCCTGCATGCTCCTTTCACTATGTGATAAATATGACTCGCTCGCTTCTGGTACCTTAACCTGGTAAATCAATGGAGCATTTAGCTAATCACAGAAAGGAAGTACAAAGAAGTGGGAATTAACAGGATTGTCATACGCTGTATGTGCCGAACAAACTCAATGGACTCACACTGATGATTTTGATCAGCTCGCTGTACTCAGCGTCACATTAGTCTCAAAGGTAGTTCACTTAATGAAGCATTTACCCGCAGTGATCACACACAGCTACAAAGCCTGTTTGGGCAATAGGTGTTTTGTCATGTGAGTGAGCTGGGAGAGCAGCCGGCTGACAGAAAGAAATGAAAGGTAAGGTCCAGCTCAAACAGCTGCTGAACATTACTGAGGCAGGAAATACGCATCATTTGGTACTGACAGGTACATGCTGAACCACTGCTATCTCTCCTCTTAAACCAACCAAATAATGGATTACAGCAGTTTAGAGTTAACCTCTGCCCTCTCAAGTGTCTATGCCAAGTCTCAGACTTTATATAGTTCAAGTCTATTTTCAAGAGCAAAAGATTAAGTAATACTGATGTGTAAGAGTAAGAATATACATTTCTAAAAAAAAAAAAAAATTCAAAGAAGAGAATAAGTAAAGACAAGCAGAGACATGAACACATTCACTTTGTGTTTCGTTGAGGAAATAAAAAAAGAAGTAAACAGCACAGCACAATACAAATCTCCTATTAAATCCACCTCAAACACGTGAGGTGCTTTTTCTGGTTTTGTAAACCAGTAATTTAGAACTCTCTTGTGAGCTGCTGAAGGCTTAACGTGTCCAACTGGATCAAGATTGTAGCTGCATACTTGCCTTAATACTCTGCCATGTCACGTTCTTTTGTGAAAATGGCAATATACACAGACAGAATGCAGAAATACAAGATTAAAGCTAAAAAGTAAATCTTTGTCAATGACCAATATTAAAATTTTGCAGGACAATGTGGAGTATATTTTTAATTCCAAGTGATTAAAGTATATCAGGTTATGCATAATACACAGTTGTGTGCTAAGAAGACAAGAAGTATGGCTTTGGTTGTTTTTTTTTTAATCAACGTTAATTAGGCGAGTAATGATAAACTCACAATACAAATCACTATGAAAAAAAGAAAAGCTCCAAACAAATTATGGCAAAATATGGTGATCATTTATTTGTACACTCTGATACCTACACTCTGATTGAACACTTGAATGACACACAAGTCACATAGTGACCTGACATCTTTAATTAATACCAGCTCACTCACAAGCATACTTCCCCCTAATGTACTGGGAGGTGTAGTCTTAGTGACATTTTAAAATAATGCCGGCAACTTCTTACGAAGTATTGCAACTCTTTTTTAACAAGAAAAATTGATGCAAATCATCATGCATTTGAATCAAAGTTTTATCGATTCATGAAGCATCTTTACATCCCTATTGTTTATAAATGAACTACACAAGACAACAGGAGTAACTCTGGATAATAGAGACTCACATGGAGACAATTGGCAAGTGTCCTGTCTCCTTTGTCCACAAACTAACCAAGTTTGGCCTTAGGCTATGGGCCACTTGTGGTCTGGATGTTCCTAGACATTTTCCGTCTGTCGTAAGTGTGTCTATTCTGCACAATCTTTTGCTGGAGTTAATTTCCGTAAATGGTGCCAAACTGTTTTTCCAAGAGTGTTGAAAAAGAAGGAAATTCTAAAACTGAACTTGTCAATCTAAAAAAGTGGGATTCGGTGAAATCCAGTTAACTCTATTTCCTTTGGTTTCTATAACATACAAATACAATATTTATTTTAAATAACTAATTGCGGTCATAGTTAAATTGGGAAATGCATGGCAAAAATATTATAGTGAACCAGTGAAAGATTGACAAAAAGACCAGCGCACTGTAATCACAAGGTCCTCACTAACCCAACCACACACCTAGTTTTAAAAACCACAAATTCCAATAGATACACAATTTGCATGTTCATCATTTGGGTCAGTGACAGTCTTAGGAATTTTATTGTAACTAAGGACTATTTGTGCCTTAATTTCAATTTAGGAAGACTAGCCTTACCTGTGCAGTTACTTTAGTATGATTGTCAGCATACTATACAACAAACAGACTTTAAATAAAAAAGCAGCTCTAGTCTTCAAGGCTGCGGCTGCTGTACATCTTGACATAATTTGAAAACAGTCTGAACAAAAATACAGGTACACACTTACACTCCCTTTACTCGTGCTCATAAATTAAACCTACGGTAAAGGAGCCCACAGCTCCCTGGTAGAGTTAGTGGTTTT